AGGAGCCTGGCGGGCTGCAGTCCACGGGGTTACATGACTGAGCATGTGCGCACGAGGGTGGAGGGAGATGGGTTGGTAGCAATAAAGTGGTAGTACTAAAAAAATAAATAAATTTTAAAAAATAAATGCTCTAACACCAGTGGGCTGCATGGTACAAAGGACAAAGCTGCAGAGAAAAGTATGGATAATACTGAGTCAAAAAATGATTCAAAAGAATCAAAATGTAGAGAAGTTTTAAGAATCCCTGGATCAATTTATTTTGCATATATTTTTCTGTGTACATAAATATGATATATTAATATGCCTAGGTCTAAAAGCTCTTCCGATGAGTATAAAATAAATTCCCTGCGTGATTAGAAAGCACTGTGTCGCACAACAGTTTAACTAGAAGTATTTTTGCTTTTCTGGAGCGAAGTTGTTTCGGTTGTGTCTGATTCTTTGCGACCCTGTGGACTGAATCCTCCCAGGCTCCTCTGTCCCTGGGATTCTCCAGGTAAGAATGCTGGAGTGGGTTGACATGTCCTTCTCCATACCCTTAGATTCATTGAAGTATAGGTAGCAAGGATTTTTTAAGTCTAGGAGACATGGAGTCATGGTTCCTACCTTGCTGGAGAGCCAAAGACTGGTGTCAGAGAGCATTTTCAGCATAGAAAGAAAAAGGGGGACACCCCAGTGATGACCAGTGCACGGTAAAGGGGACACAGGTGTCAGCCAGGAAGTTAACCTTAAATAAAAGAATGTGACTCCAAAGAATAAAAGGTATGGGACTCCCCTGGTGGTCCAGTGGCTGGAAGTCCGCCTGCCAATGCAGGAGACATGGATTCGATCCCTGGTCTGGGAGAATCCCACGTGCTGCGGGGCAACTAAGCCCTTGCACTACAACGACTGGAGCCCTTGCTCTGCAACAAGAGGAACCACTGCAATGAGAAGCTCACGCGCTGCAACTGGGGAGTAGCCCCTGCTCGCTGCAACTAGAGAAAGCTTGTGCCTAGCAAGACCCAGAGCAACCTAAAAGTAAGTAAATAATTTTTTTAAAAAAAGAACAAAAGGTATGAAAACAAGCAGGAGCCAAATAAAATTCCAACAAACTATCAAATAGTGTAGAATCCCTGCTAAGGAAAAAATGTTCCAAGTCAGGGCACCCTGAAAACAATGGCACTAGTTAAATTCACAGCTACGCTTATAGTCAGATGCTTTGCTGGCTGTGAGGTCTTGTCTCAGCTCCGAACCCACCCCTCTGCTTTGTGGTGCTCACGTTGAGATACTGAAACCCACATTCTCCTCTGACAAATGGCTCCCTGTTAGGTTCTGCCAGTAGGAGGCATGGTAAGCCTTGTTCTGGGAGTGGCAGAAAACCGGAAATTGCAGCCAGGGTGAAGAACCATCACAGGCATGATGCAGACAGCAGGAGCAAGTCCTTCCTCCAGCCTTATTGACTGGCTCCGTGGGTTCTCCCTCCAAGCTCCAAAGGTATCAGCCCTCCTTTTTTGAGGTCTGAGTCCAGCTTCTTCCTTTTCTTCTCCAGCCCTAGATAGTCATCCTGCAAAGTGTCCCCTTTTTTGCCTTTTTTCTCCTACTAATGCCTATGTTATCAGTTATCCCCTATACTAAATTCCCCTGTTAAAATAGCTTGATTTTGTTTCTTTCTTTCTGACTGGACCCTGATCGATACAGTTGGACTGATGGGCATTGACTAGATCCAGCAGTGCCTGCCTGTATTTATCCTATCTATATGTTAGTATTGGTTTCACAGATATCTGTAGAGGATTAACCTGTTTTAACCCCAGAATCTTTGAAATTAGCATTCTTATTGGCTGTTATAGAATCAAGAGTCAGCAAACTTAAGTCTCAACCCCAGTTCTGTCATTGGGTTCCATACCCTGTTTTGACCTCAGTGTAGTTATATAAAGAGTATGAGAGTACCTACCTCTCTAATTATTGCTAGTTATTATTAGTAATAAACTTCTGGGATATGCAGAGGAATGAGACAGGACAATCCATGGATATAGAGATCGCCACAAGTTGACATACACCTTAAAGAAATAGGGGGATGGTGTGATTTATGACTTCTCTTAGCCAGACACATCCACTAGATTTTATTTATCAGCCTTGAACCTGTGTTAAAGAAGTACTAGCTTTGTAGCTTTGTAAGGAAGTACCTACCTTTGTAGCCGCTGCATTTTGTATTAAGCTTCACTTAAAGTAGTGCAGTTAGGGTTTCCCTCATGGCTCAGTGGTAAAGAATCCACCTGCCGATGCAGGAGACACAGGTTCGATCCCTGGTCTGGGAAGACCCCACATGCTGCAGGGCAGCTCAGCGCGGGCTCTATCAGCCTGTGCTCTTGGGCCCAGGAGCCACAGCCGCTGAAGCCTGAGTGCGCTCGAGCCTGCGCTGCGCAGCGAGAGAAGCCAGCGCCATGGGAAGCCCTCACTCCCCGAAGCTGTAGAAAAGCTCGCAGAGCCCCGAAGGCCCAGCACAGCCAAGTCAATAAATGCAGTCTTTATAAAAAGCAGGTGGGATTAAATGACTGATCCCATCTGTGGTCCAGGCGATAGCACAGCGATGTAACCCACCGTACCAGCCTCAGGGGAGTGGGAGTCTTACTTGGTGACAGGTCCTCTGTGAGGTGGGCATGGCAACCCACTCCAGTATTCTTGTCTGGAGAATCCCATGGACAAAGGAGCCTGGCAGACTACAGTCCATGGGGTCGCAGAGCTGGACATGACTGAAGTACCTTGGCACGCAGGCACCTCTGTGGGAGAGGCATCATCTGCATGATCACTCATCGCCACCGCCCTGTATCAGCCTTGTCTTTCACTGTCTCCAGCTCATGAACTCTGCTCAGCTCCACTGGCCTCATCTCAGCCTTGTAAACACTGACCCACTTTCACCCAGAGCACATGCGTTTTGTTAGCCTGGATTAGTCTTTCTCAAGATGTTTCTGTACCTCATCACCTCACTTTATCTGACTTCTCGGGCAATCAGGTATTCCTGAATACTTTCTATATAAATTTCTGTTAAATTCTACCCTGATCTCTGATTTTAGCTTGCTTCACTTTTCTTTGTGGCACTTAGCACTACCTGATGTCAGCACATTGTTTACTGACTTACACTCTGCCTCCCTGGCTGGGAATGGAAGCTCCATTATGGTGGGGACTTTGTCCATTTTGTTTGCCACTATATTCCCAGAACCTGAAGCAATGCCTGGCACCTCTGGCACATAGTAGGCCCTCAGAAAATATTTGATAGGCTAATGAGTGGATTTAACAGATAGACACCAATTATGGTACTGTACCAGATCTCTGTCCTCTGTGAACCTGGAGTAAAAGCATGCTGGTTTTTTTGCAAAAAGATCTTTCATAACCAACATCTGCTCCTTGAGTTTAAGTCTGGACATTTTAGTCCCGGAAACAGGACCAGATTTGAAGTCAGATATGTGGTTTCATATCCTGTCTTTACCAATACTAGCTGTACTCCATAAATCCTTTAATCTCCCTGAGACTTGATTTTCTCACATGTGCAATGGGAATAGTAGTTGCTCTGCTTACCTTTGACTGATTGTAAAGGTGAAATGAAATGTGTTTCTCTCCCTCTGAGACTGTATGAGAGTCCAGATTCTTCTGGCATTTCCCTTCTGGCCACTATCCTTCTCTCTCCAAAGTTGTTGATCTTGTCTTCCTGTATAACCCTCAAGATCCAGAAAAGCTATGAATCCACCACAGAGAGGTAACCCAACTTTGTCTTCCAAGTCTTCCCAGATATCAGCTGAAAAAAAAAAAGTGCTGAGGAAGACAAGGCAGCCTCTTTTCCATCCTACTCATAATTGCTGATACATAATTGCCTCAGTAACCTGATCATCAGCCCTCGTAACAGATATCCCTGTGCTGCACCTGCAAAGCCGATGGAAGGAGACAGAGAAAACAGTATCCAGCAGAAGAGAGAGGGTAGACTTCTCTATAACAAGGCCCAGGATAAGGACATTATTGTCTAGAAGGAAAGAAATGATTGAAAGGTTCTGAAAACTGAGATAACTCCATCTCAAGCGACCTTATTAGCCTGAAAAAGAACAAAGAGTCTCTTCCCCCACATAAAGGTATGGAGGAAAACCACATGACTCAGTAGATGGGGAATTCAGGGGGGAGTATGCTGATACACCATCGCGGAATCCTCTGGGAACCTACGAACAGGCTCGGTTGTAACGAGGTCCAGAGTTGCGCCATGGAATCATGTCCCCAGTGATTACATCTCAGTGACCATCTCTCCTGCTCGTCCTCTTATGGTCACTGTGAGGCGAGACTGGATTCTGGTGGTTTTTTATGAGCAATGATTTGTCTTTCTCCCTCCTTGGATCTCTGTTCTTACTGCTTTCATGTCCCTAATTTATAAAGTATCTATGGAGTCTTACTGCCTTATTGATTTTACTTAGCTTTCTTTTTCATTGTACTGATTGGTACTAAAAGATGCACTAGATTTTAAAACCCTGACATCAATTCAACGTTGAGAATCTGAAGCAAAGACATTGTGCTTAAAGAACATATAAACAGAGCCTGCTGTTTTTCTGCTGAGTCTGTTTGGGAAATGCAAAATGATTGGAATTTTTTTGAAATCTGTTCTTAGGTACTATTTAAACCTTCCCTACAAACTCAGGCATATTTCTTAAAAGGAAAGAAAACACCAGCAACAAAACAGAAAAGATCAAATGAGACAACTGAAAAAGAATAATGCATCCAGATGTTACATTGCTTTTATTGCCACTTCCAGGTCCCAACCAGTTTGGCCCTAGAATATTTGAGAAGTACAAGTGTGCAGTTCAGGGGCCGTGTCTCTTTCCCCAGTATTGATCCACCTATACCCAGTCAGTGTTCTCTCTTTCCTTTCGGTGAGATGTACAGTGCCTCTGTGTGGCAGAGTCACTGTGTATGTCCAGCATACTCGACGCTGTGGAGTCCTCCTGGACTTATTAAGGACCAGGGTCATCAGCCTTTTTTGGACTTCCTAGGCTAGAGAAGAAGACAGGAACCAGGATGGGAAAATGGATGTGCTGCACTTTGAGCTGGAGCTCCCCCTGCAGCCCACGGAGCAGGTCCTAGGCGTGCAGCTCATCCTGACTTTCTCCTACCAGCTGCATGTGAGTTATCTCCCTTCTGTCTTTTTTTCATAGTTTTTTTTTTTTTTTTTACTATTTATTTATTTTTAGGCTGTGCTGGTCTTCGTTGCTGTGCGTGGGGTCTCTCTAGTTTCGGTGAGCGGGGGCTACTCTTCCTTGTGGTGCGAGGGCTTCCCATTGCGGTGGCTTCCCTTGGAAGCTCCTTTGGAGCGCGGGCTCTGGCTTTAGTTGCTCTGCAGCATGTGGAATCTTCCTGGACCAGGGATCGAACCCGTGTCCCCTGTATTGGCAAGCAGAGTCTTACCTACTGCATCACCAAGGAAGTCCTCCCTTTTGTCTTTCAATAAAACAGGGCCCCCTTTCTGATTTCTGGGAAAACTCACACTGCAGGAGACTCTTTGCAGAAGTGTCATTTAGGGTTTAGCCACCAAAGCTAAATTCGAATGTTTTTTGTGGAGGTCACATTAATTTCCATGAGCTATTAAGAGCTCCAGGGGTTCTGGGCAGAGCGCTTCCTGCATGGCTAAGCACTGGGGGGACGGCTTAGGCTTCAACCGCAGATGGGTAATGCTCAGAACCTACAGCCATTCGGATCTGACTGAAATTGATATGATCTCTCTTTCTAATGATTTCAGAGGATGTCGACATTCGTGATGCAGAGCATGGCATTTCTCCAGTCCTCCTTTGCCGTTCCCGGGTCCCAGTTATATGTGAACGGAGACCTGAGGCTGCAGCAGAAGCAGCCCCTCGGCTGTGGTGGCCTGGATGTCCGGTACAATGTAGGGACACTTCCTCCTGCCGTCTCTTTTGCTTCTGCGTTGTATTGTTTACCAAGTGTTTTGAAGAGGGAGCAAGTAACATTGGAAATAGCACTTCTCTGTGAGTGGCACAGAAAAGGATCTCTGAGGAATTCTTTCCGTGAATCCTTTTGAAATATGGAGACAGATATCCCTGTTTACATCTTAAAAAAAGAGGGAGAAGAATCTTTGTCTTTATATAAGAATTGAATTGTTTATAGTTTTGGGGTATGCAAGCACACACACACAGTGTATTTCAGGTGATCTTTCTCAGTTCACGTAAAAGATTTGAAAAAGCCTACTAATCACTGTTTGCTAAGCTTGTAACATAGGCCAGCCTGAGTTAAGAGGTGTAAATACATCGTCTCATTCAGTCATCACGGCAACCTCATGAGACGCCTTCGGTTGCCGTCCCTGCTCTCCAGCTGCGTGTCCTGGCACCGTCCCCTTGCTCCTTTCTAGCCCTGGGGTCCATTTTGCTGTCCCTCAAACCTCCGAAGCAGCTCCTGCCTCAGGGGTTTTCACTTAACTCTTCATCCAGCAAGTATCCACATGCTTACCCTACTGCTCCGTCTGGTCCCTGTTCAAAGCTCCTGAGCGCAGTCCTTCCTTGACACGCCTTCTAAAGGACATCCACCTGTCCCTCCATCATCCCTCACCCAGCTTTACCCTTCTTAACCTTCACCTGCAATACTAAAGGGAGGTCTCCAGTTTGTTCATTTGCCATCTCCCTCGGTGGTAAAGGGGCTTCCCTTGTGGCTCAGCTGTAAAGAATCCGCCTGCAATGCGGGAGACCTGGGTTCGATCCCTGGGTTGGGAAGATCCCCTGGAGAAGGGAAAGGCTACCCACTGCAGTACTCTGGCCTGGAGAATCCCATGGACTGTATAGTCTGTGGGGTCGCAAAGAGTCGGACACGACTTTCACTTTCAGCGATGAAAGCTCTGCTGTCTTCTGTGTTCTCTCGCCCCAGCACTTAAAACAGTGACTGCCCATGGTATCCACTCAGAATTGATGAGAGAATGAACTCTCATTTCACACATGAGGAAACTGGAGCCTACAGGGATTGATTAATTTCCCCAAAACCCACAGAGCCATGAACGGTCTGTGAGACCAGGACTCATACATGCGATCACTCGTCGCGAACCTTTATGTTATCACAAGGAGACCCATATAAGTTGGGCTACTTTTGAAACTTAGTAGGAAATGTTATCAGTTACTATAACCAGGACTGTCCCAGATAAACTGGGATCCATGGTCACCATAACCATAACCATTATCAACATACTATTTTTTTTTAACAGGAGGGACTATAAAATATAAATTTAATGTGCTGTGCTTGGTCGCTCAGTCTTGTCCAACTCTTTCCAACCACATGGACTGTAGCCCACCAGGCTTCTCAGTCCATGGGGATTCTCCAGACAAGAATACTGGAATGGGTTGCCATTCCCTCCTCCAGGGGATCTTCCTGACCCAGGGCTCAAACCCAGGTCTGCACACATTGCAGGTGGATTCTTTACCATCTGAGCTACCAGGGAAGCCCATGTTATGTCAGCAGGTATGTGATACTAGAGAACTGCTGTCTCACGTCTTCAAAGGATTATGTGCTTATTACTATGTGTGCACTTTATCCTCTTTCCATTTCTGCATTTCGAAGAGAACTATTAGGGAGCATCCAGACAAGATCAAGAAAAAAGACAAAGGGGTTGAAAATGTAGTCTCTTAGAAAAAATTAGAAGAATCATTTCTCCCATTGGAATAGAGAGGGGAATTATATAAATAGCTTTAAAACCTGTGAAAGACGGATATTGACCCCTTGTTTCCTTCCCTCTAGAAAGAAAGACTGAAAGTAAATGACTTAAATTGTTTCATAAGAGTTCATTCATCTTTGAAGAAAAGATTATCCATGCTGGAATAGGCCCCCAAGCGCAAGAGAGTGGCTCTGAGATCAGCCTGGGTGGGAGCGGGGGGTAGAACAACCAGGAGCGCAAGTCGCTTGCACGCTCATACCACCTGCTCACACCACGCCTCCCTCCGCGTCCCAGGTGTCCGTCATCAACGGGACCAGTCCGTTTGCCAATGACTACGACCTCACTCGCATTGTTGCTGCCTATCAGGAGAGGAACGGTGAGTCCTGTGGACGGCTCTTGCGGCTGCTTCTCAAGGACTTTGCAGGTTAATGAGGGTATTGGAAAGAAACAATTAGAGCCCTTGTCATATCAAACTGTCAAAACCAGTGAATGCTCAGCTATGGAAGGTGAACAGGTTGCTCAGAATTTGTTCGTTTTCTCCTGATCCAGAGACCTAACCATCCCCTCCACTGCTCCTCTGGTCTGGCAGGTTAGTGCCAATTCACTGCCATATTCGTGCCACCGCTGGTTTGGTGGGTTTATGCGTATAGATATGTGAGTTGCTTCCCACAGCACACCTGTAAGAAAAGCCAAAGACAAGTTGCTCTCCACAGTGTTCAGATGGAAACAGGGAACGCGAGTGACTCATCGCATGTCAGCAGCTGAAGAAGGAGAAAGCACCCAAGATTCTGGCTGAAAGGCAGGGGGTGCCCAGGGCCTCCAAGAGGCAAGACCTGAGTGCGTGCTTGGCTCAGCATTTCTGGCTGCTTGGTGGTCTGAGGTTTCCTCTAAAGGAACCTAAAGCATTACTTGGCAACCAGACATCATAGATACGATACACAGACATTTAACAAGTCGGGACCACAATTCCAGTATTTCTTTCTGGTTTTAAGTAATACATGAGCAGCTTTATTCCAAAAATAAAGGAATTTTAGAACACGACTTAAAAACATTTGTCTGCAAATCAACTTTTCTCCCTTAATTCCTTCCAGTTGTTGTCCATATGCAGAGTTTTTAATACAGCTCCTGTCACAGTTTAGAGACAGTTTTTGTCTTCTGCACTTTGTAATATAAATACTTTGTCTTCTGTACTTTTGTACACCACTACAAAGTTTTCATTGGTTTTCTTTTTAGAAGTAACATAGTATTCCTTTGCTTAGACAGTTGTAGAACACAGACTTTTTAACGTCCTTTGACAAGTGTTTTAACAAATACTATGTGAGCAGCTTTGAACATTCAGTTTCTCTTTCCTTTTGAATTATCTCTTTGGAATGTGTTCTGAAGTGCAGATGGCCTGGGAGGTCAGAGTATTTTATAGCCCTCAATGTTTTACTGCCAAAGAGAGCATTCACAGATTAACTCCTCATTGTGTTGCAGTAACCACCATCCTGACTGACCCCAGCCCCATCTGGCTGGTGGGAAGGGCTGCAGAAGCTCCATTTGTGGTTAATGCAGTCATCCGATACCCCGTGGAAGTCATTTCATATCCTTTCTGTTAAAGGGCCAACAGTAGCTGGGTTTCAAAACAGAGAAGGATTCCTCAGATGTCTCAAGAAGGAACAGATGTGGGAAGCCTCAGACTGGAAATTGCTGCAGTGGTAGTCCCCCACAAATGGCTCTGTCTGTCTGCAGTTCATATGGGAAAAAAATACTCATTTCCTGTTCATATGTCCTTTTGAGCAATTCTTCTAGGTCAGAATCATACATATTTATATCTTAGTAATCTTTGATTGTCTATTTTATCTTAAGGATATTTGAAACATTTTTTGTGATTTTCTGTATAAACTAACCCTTTGGTGTAACATGTATATAGAAAATGTCATCTGTGACTCCTTAACTGTTGGTACTTATCTACCAGGATTCTGGGAAATGATAAAGTTCGCCTGGATCCAGTATGTCAGTATCCTACTTATCTTCCTGTGGGTGTTTGAAAGAATCAAAAGATTTGTGTTCCAAAATCAGGTGGTGACCACAATCCCTGTAACAGCTATGCCCCAGGGAGAACTGTATAAGGAGCATTTATCGTAAGAAGACCCTTTCTGAAAACTCTAAGCAAGACCGTGGCCACCTCACTGTTGTCTTCTGAGAACTGCCATCTTACGAAATTTCTGAAAAGAGTCCATGGACACTTGCCCCCATGTGTGCTTTTCCCATCAGAGACAAAGAACAATCCTTTCTAATTTTCCTCTACACAAATTCTATATCTCCTCAGCATCTGCAGAGATAATCAGGGACTAGTTTGTAGAAATGTTTCTGAGGGTTCCCCAAGGCTATAATTTGCTTTTGTTTGTGTTTTTCGCCTCAGACTTGGATCTCCAGAGGAAACTACAGTCAGTTCAGACAGCTTGGAAAGAGTCCCATCTCTGGTGAAGCAAAGACTTTTCCTCTCTTGAACTGAGAAGCATGCCCTGCGTTTCTTCCCCCTGTTGTAAACCAGGTTTTCCTCTTTGCAGGGCTCTCTGGGGATAGATACGCAATCATCAGCACTTTCCACTCCTGGGCGTCTAAATTTCCGCTCAGCACTGGTTTCCAGAACTGAGAGGCCTTTAACCGGCGATCTGGAGGGGGAGAGGGGAGCGCTCGGGGCACATGTGCGCGCGGGCGGGCGCCGTGAGGACAAGCCGCCCGGCGTCCACCTGCCGCGTCGAACAGACGGGGGTCTGTGGCAGCCCTGCCGAGCAGCCCTTGATCCCGCCCGCCGGGGCGGCTCTTGGCCTCCGGCGGAGCCCCTGGAATCGCAGGCCTCGGTCAGCAGGGCTGCCTCGGGCACAGGCCCTCAGCGACAGCGGGGGAGTGAGCCGGCAACAACAGGTCCTTTCTCCCTGGCCCTCGCCCAGCAGGCTGCCCACTGGCCACGCTTCCTCCTCGACAGCCCTCCCCCGCTTGAAAAGGACGCGGGCGACAGAGGAGCTGTTGTTGCTATTGGCTCCTGCCGCCTGACAACCACAGAGGTTACTTGGAGGGCTAGCGGGAAGCCCGCGACTTGCCTTTCCTCTGCCTCAGGAACGGGGTGCCCATCACAGAAGGCCGCTTTGGGAGGACACACAGGAGCCCATTCCGGGCCTGGCCGTCAGCAGAATGAGACGCAGTTCAGCTGGATCACCCTCGTGACTCTGAGCATCTGCCGCAGAGACACGGAATGGACCTCTGTCATGAGTGGACCAGGGATTTTCCATTCACACTCTAAGGACCGCTGGACCTGCTTTATGACCCCGTGCTTTCACTGGCAGTGGAAGGACACGCCCTCTGAGATCCTCACTTAACACCCATCCACACACACCTCTGAGTTTTTATTTCCAAGGCACCTTTTCTTCCAGGCTGACCAAAATAAGAACTTTGAAAACAAAGCTGTTTTGAAGTATTTAAGCACAAAAAGATCCTAACACTGGTCCCTCTGCCTTTTAATATCTTGAGCTGTTTATATGCCTAGAGTTGTTGTTGTTTTCTTCCCTGAGATTTAAATTAAAAAGTTTCTGGTTTGAATCACCAAAAGGTAGTGAAATATGGAAAGAGAGCTGAAGATGTATCTCAACACAGCTTCGTATTTTATTAAATTATTTTTCATGCCAAATATGTATAAAGAACCATGATGTTTTGTAACTTTATAATTAAAATGTTCAAACTGGAAGGTTCCATGTGGCTCTTTAGAGGGGCAGGGTATTTGGAAAAGGGAGGTGGGGAGGGCAGAAGTTGTGCACATTTCTCGTTACTCACCAACAGCCTTGTTTTGCCAGGGCTCTGCCCAAAGACCTTGGAGCTTTTGTTAACTCCTTGGCAAAAGCCTTCTGGCCCCACCCCAAGTAAATGTGAGTTTTTGGTGGAATCCACATGGCATGTGAAAATCACAGACTGGAAAATTACAACTGCTTCTGGTGGATACCAGATTGTTTACAGATCAGATGTTGGTGGCTTCTGAAGATGAACCACACTGTATAGTTGCAGGGAAAAGGTGGGAAATATACAGAAGTTTATCAACTGGGCTGTAACCCATAGCTGTGTCAGGGTCTAAGACAATATTTGGCAGGGTGGAATCTCTTATCTTGCCAAATGATTATCCAGTTTCTATTTGAATCAGGTGAGGTCCCATCATCTAAGAATAATAAAGCTGCCTTTCTTTCTCTTCAGGTTTATGCTTTGTAAAAGAAGTTTTATTTCTTTGTGACCATGTAAGTTCTAAATGCCTATGGGGGGAAACGTGTAATTACAGAAACCTAAAGAAAATGAGTTGTCTGTAAATTGCTCTCGGCATTCTGACACACATCCTTTTAATTTTTTGCTTTTTTATTTTTTTGCTGTCATAAATGACATTTCTATCAACCGTGCATATAAATCCTTTTTGTTAGTTTTATTTCCTTAAGACAGAGCATAGAAAGAAATTATGATTTCAAAAAGTTTCTTAAGGATTTTAATTCATCTCGCCAAACCGAATCCTGGAAAGAATGTGCTAATTTATAGTTCCAGCCGCAGAAATCTCTTTTTAGGTCGCACCAGGGACTACAAGAGATCAGAATTCTCCATCTTGTTCAGATACTTGGACTCTGTTATCTGTAGGGGGAAATAACATCTTTATTTACTGAAAGATACCCGGTATTTACCCGGACCTGCTATCAAGCCTGAGTCTTTGGGTTGAGGCTACAGAAGGGGGGAGACAGCCAGCTGCAGGCCCAACTCCTGAGGGCCACCTGGTGTCCCGGCCCCTCTCAGCCCGGCTAGTGCGCGGGGCCCCGACATCCAGGTGACCCAGGCTTGGCTGGGGCCGAGGCCGGGGGCTTGGGAAGCAGTTTGGATTCCTCTGGCTGCGAGGATGCCACCGAGAGCGAGCAGGGGCAAAATAAAGATTCGGTTTCTTTCACAAGGGCCTTTTGTGTTCCCAGGAGCCTCCCTTCTCTGGGGATTGATCGGAGGGGGAAACACTTCTTTGGTCAACGAGTGGGATGAGAAGCGACGCGGCGGGCTCCCGCTGACACCCCGCGCCGAGCCGCGCGCCCCTGGCCGCCCCCCGGGCCCACCTGCGCCCTCCTCTCCGGGGCTCGCCCGCGCCCGCCCGGGGCGGCCGCCCCTCCCCCGAGGCGTGGCCCCTCGGCCCGCGGTGGGCAGGCTAGTCCGAGCCCGGGGGCCAACCGGCTCTTTCCTTCCTCCCCTCCCGCCCCCGGCGCCCGCCCGCTCCGGGACCGCAGCCACGTCTGAAAGCGCCTCATTGTGCGCGCTCGGCTCCGGCCCGCCGCGCTGAGCGGCCGCACAGGTAGCGCGCGGCGCGGGGCCGGGCGCCCAGAGGGCTTCGAGGCTGCTTCGTGTCCTGCCCCCCCGACCCCCACCCCGGGACGGCCCCCCCAACATCCCATTCTTACGACACCTCTCTTTATTTTTAGGGGACTCCTGCCCGGTTTCCAGCCTCCCGCCGCCTTGGCTCTCCAGGTGCCTCCAATACACGGCCCCCGCTTGCCAAGTCCACGCCTCTCGGGGCGCCCTCCGCCCGGGGAGCACGGGTGCCCCTTCAGAGCCGTACGACCCTGCGGACTGTCCCGGCGAGGAGACAGCGGCTGCGGACGGAGCTGGGTGAAGGCGGCGTCCAGGAGTCTCGGCAGAGCCTGGGGCCAGAGGCGTCTGCCCCGCGCCGCGCCCCCGGGCCGGGACACCTCGCCTGGGGTACGTTGGTTCGTCCTCTCTCCGCGGGATGAGGGTGCGGAACGCCCACACCCCTGGGCGGCCGGGGCCTCCGGGGGCCCAGCTGGGGAGGCGGTGACCTTGCAGCGCCCCGTGGGCAGTGCCAGTTGGAGCTGAGGGTGGTTTTTATGAGAACGTGAAAAGGGCATCGCTGGTTGGAAAGGGTCTTCCTGAGGCTTCAGCTTCACAGGTCACTTCTTGAGGATCCCTTGTCTCTTGCAACTTGAGTTTCAAAGGGTATGGCTTTCATTTAAAAAAAAAAAAAAAAAGAAACAAAAAACTCTCCAAGGACTTTTTCCACGGAACCCTGAAGAAAAAGCAGCTCGGGCAAATGAATTCGGAACCAGATCCAGCTGAATTTGAGTCTGGGGGCCCCTGCTCCCAGCTGCTGGACCGTGGGCTGTAATAGAGGCCGCCTCCCTGGGCCTCAGCATAGATGCCCAGCAGATGTTCACTCTCTTTTCTCTTCCCTCTTGTACTGGAGGCTTGAGGATGGGAAAAGTGAGGCCCCAAGAGTGGAAAAGCCTTGGCTGAGGTGAAGCCGTGAGTGAGTGAGCCAAGTGCCAGAGCTAATAAGAATAGCAGGCTGCTCGGTGAGCCTGGCCATGCCAAGGGTTAGACTGTTCCATCTAAGCCTCTCCAGACTGCCTGGTAGACACTGCTAGAGCCTCCTTCTCAGAGTCAGCTGAAGTGATGAGTGACTGGCTCAAAGTCACACACCCCACTGGTTGTAGAGCACAATTTTAACGCAATCTGGCTTCAGAAGCCAGGCTTTCAGCCATGGTGGACTATCTTCTGTTTGGGATGTATGGCTTCCCTGGTAGCTCAGTTGGTAAAGAATCTGCCCTGTAATGCAGGAGACCCGGGTTCAAGTCCCGGGCTGGGAAGATCCCCTGGAGAAGGGAATGGCAACCCACTCCAGTACTCTTTCCTGGAGAATCCCATGGACAGAGGAGCCTGGTGGGCTACAGTCCATGGGGTTGCAAGAGTTGGACATGACTTAGTAAACCACCACCACCACTGCTGCCTAGGCTTGATTCTTCCTATTGCTAGGGTCACTTGAACTTGGTTGGGCTATTTTCTTTGAATTTTCCTTATGCACAAGCTTTCTCTTGGATTCATAGAACACAGTTGTGATGCAGGATTTTTAAAAGATCCTTGAACAAAAAAATAAATCATTGAACAAATACTTTTCAGTGAACTATGTACCAGATATTATCTGAGTGCTTTAATATTAATTCATTTAATCTTCAAATCAAGCCCATGAGTTGAGTTATATTATTTCCCCTATTTATAAATTAAAAAAAAAAAAGCAAGCACAGAGAGATTAAGTAACTTGCTCAACTTGCTCAGGATCACCCAGTGAGTCATCAAATAGAGTTCATACTCTTAGCCCTTGTGCTAACCCTACTACCTGGTATGAGAGAGACAGAGTCTGGCTTCTAAGCTAGTCAGGAGATTTAGGTACAGAAATGCATGAACAAGAGTATTCTTTGTAGTGATAGTAGCATTAACAAAGATTTCCCAATATCACCTAATACTCAGTCCGTATTAAAATTTCTCTGATTACCTCAAAGATATCTTCTGACACTGGGTTTGTCTGAATGAGAATCCAAACAAGATCTACATGTTGTCTTTGGCTGTTTTGTGTTGTTTTCTTTTTGTTGTTGTTGTTTCTGAAAATAAGTTTTATTTAAATAAGGGTTTAAATACATTACATAACATTAGAACTGAAGAGGACGGGGAAAAAAAAACCCAAAAATCCGTTTGTGACTTCACATGGCATTGAGCCGCTGTTGCTAGTGAGTTGCAAGCGCTACAGCTATGACTGATACATCGGTTTGAAATTTGTTCCCTTGTCAGAAGTTGAACTGATAGAAGGTTGGCCTCACCTTCTAGTTTGGGAATTGATTATTTAGGATATATCTGGTCAAAAAGACCTTGGCAAGCCAGATGTCCTGGCCCCTCACTAGAGGGTGGTTGCTCTAAGCTGTGCCCACCGAGTCACACTGGAGACAGCAAGGGATCTTTCCCCGACCACCAAGTCTCCCTCTGGCAGTACAGCCACCTCACCCATCCTCCATTCTCCGCTTCATCATGTCCAGTTGGTGATGTTCTCTCAGGACAGGGAACTCTGCAGAGGGACTGTTGAGGGACTTCCGGCCAGACATAGCCCCCTGTGATCCTGGGGCTCTGGACTTGGCTGAAGCATTACTGTTACTCCTTTGGTTCAGGCTGGACACTGCCAGGCGCCTCTGCTTGACCTCTGTTTAAATGAGGGACCCCAAGACTAGCCAGCATGGCTCTGTTCAGTTTGTTGCATGAAGGAGTTCCACTAGTCCAAGTTAAAAGCAGACCCCAGATGGTTACATTATATTAGTTGCGAGGTGTTTAAACTTGTGACAGGGACAGAAGGGAATTTCTACTCATTGCAAGGAAATCCTCACTTAAGCCTCAGTGAGCCCAAAGCTCTTGAACCCATGAGCCTTCAGCTGGTCATCCTTAGCCAGTCCAGTCTCAACCAGGAACTGGCATATGTCCTTGTGCTGGTCACCCTGTAGCTTAATTCCTTCTCCATCCTCTAGATGCTCAATGCAGTACCATTGCAGGCAAATTGCTTCCTAAATGCCTTCACTAGATTCTTTTTATGGTAATCATCAGCAATCCCCTGGATGGCAGTAATGGTCTTCCTGCCGTTTCTTCATCGAATCCTTATATGGATATAATCCTCAGTGCCAGCAGGAGGCAGATCAGTACCCTTCCTTGCGTCAGCAAAGGGGTCCAAAGAATGGAGGTTCTGGATAGCGGACATATATATGATTGAAGGTGGCCGCTGGAGAAGGTGGGCAGGGGATACGGAGCCTTGGGAAGCGAGGGGGCTGGAAAGGGAGTCTGCTGAGTCCTCGGCGGCAGCTCAGTGACTGGGCCAAGTTGTTTTCTTCTAAAATAGTCCCTTCCTTTTTTCTTTCCATGCCATTGACTGATAAAAATGATTTAGTCTTTTAAAAAATGATTTACTTTTTAAAAATAAATGAATCAAAGTAAGAGATTAAGAAAAATAAACCAGAGCATATTGCAGACTGTCCCTGCATGAGAGGGCTCAGTCCACACCAGGGGGCGGGTGCCTGAGAGGAATGTGTGAAACGCATCCCTTCCGCTCCCTGCCAGTGTTACTTCTGAGAAGAGGGGGCGTCCCAGACTTGGGGGCCCTCCAGCTGTTAGATGCACTGATTTAGACCACACTAGGTGCTGTGTAAGGTGTGCTTTGGGGATCCCCATAGTTCAGAGCCTTGGGAAAGGGCTTCTGTGTTGGTATCTGCTCATCTGCTCTGGAATGCCCACTGCACGGCTCTGAGCCAAAGAGACTCGAAGCTCCTTTCCCAGACTAACTTGATTTCACTTCCCAGTAGGTTCCTGCAGGCAGGTCTGGTTACTCCAGCGCATCTGGACTCTGTGACTGTAGCCGCCCTACCTCCAGCTGATGCCGCACGGCTGCTCCCCAGGGCCATCAGGGGAATGGCAGATGGGCCAGGGCTTAGGGCCAAGCACGTCTTCACCACCGCCTGCCCCAGCCCAGAGCCCTGAGACTGAGTGTGGGGCTGGAGCCCTTGACAAAGGCCAGTTTTTGTCAAAGGTAGTTTTCCATCCCCTGCCCCTCCCCTCTAGCCACCTAGGTACTCAGGTCAGCTGGAAGATGGTTTGGGGGTGCTTCTCTCCCTGCAATAAAAGCTGAGTCAGCAAACTCCACCCATGCCTCTTTGAATCAATTAAACAGAACTGATTGTTAATGATTGATGAAGTAATAAAACAAGAAAAAAATGACCTGTAATCTGGCCACAGAATAATAACCACCAATATTCAGCAGGCATCTTTCTGGATTTCTTCCTATACTAAATAATTTTGGGTTTTGTTTGTTTAAGTAACAGCTTTATTGAGATATAACTCACATTCTTTGAAGTTGTGTTAAGTGCACACTTACTGGTTTACAGTGTATTCGGTCTTGTGGGTTAATCACGTGAAGGTTCATCAGTGTTGCAGCGCGTATCAGTCTTTCCTTCCTTCTTATTGCCAGATGATATTCAGTTATATGAGTACACCACATTTTGCTTATCCATTCATCAACTGATAGGCATTTAGGATGTTTCCACTTTGGAGCTATTATGATTAATGCTGCTGTGAAAGTTCATGAGCACGTTTTTGTGTAGACATATATTTTTGATTCTCTTGGATTTGTGTATTTTAGAGTAGAATTGCTGGATCACATGGTAATTCTATGTTTACTTGAGGGATGACCTGCTTTCCACAGCAATTCGCCATTTTACATTCCCACCAGCAGTCTATGAGGGTTCCAGTTTCACCATATTCTCACTAACACTTGCTATTTTCTGTCTTTTTTATTACAGTCAACCTAGAGGATGGGAAGTGGTATCCCAATGTAGTTTTGATTTGCATTTTCCTAATGACTGAAGCTATCAAGGATCTTTTCATGCACTTACAGACCATGTGTCCATCTTCTCTAGAGAAATATCCACTCAAATCTGTTACTTATTTTAAAATCAGGGTTTTTTTTTTAAATTATTGTTCCATGGTAAGAGCTCTTTATATATGGGTACAAGTCCCTTGCTATTTATATGATTTGCAAATATTTTCTCCCTATGGATATCCTTTCAGTTTCTTGATGGTGTCCTTTGATATTCATGTATTTTTAACACACTGAAAGTTTTGCTGTTTTGTTTTTTTTTTTTCACTCAGCATTATGTAGTGAAGTGCTCTAAACTTAGACAGCTGGAGTTCAAGTTCTGACTGTTGCTCTGTGGGCAAGTTCTGAACCTTTCTAAGCCTCAGCTTCTTCTTCTTTAGTCGAGTTCCTGAACCTTTCTAAGCCTCAGCTTCCTCTTCTGTAAAATAGGGAGGCAGATCAGACGCACCTGATAGGATTGTTGTGAGATAATCCTGATCTGATCTTAGAGGAAGACGGGTGGGAAAGACTTGGTATGTAGGAAGCCCTCACAGGTGGTATTCCGTGATTCCCACACTACCACAAGCATCCATCTTTCTCCCCTCTCCTCTCTCTCCCCTTTCCTCCCTCGGTGCTTTTCCCATCTCTTGTTCTTCTTTTCTCTCTCCCTTCGCGTCTTTCCTCCTCTTTCTTCTCCTCTGTGTCAGCCTTCTCTCCAACAGATCCCCTGGGCTCCATCAGAGCTGGTTCATCTCCAGGGGTGGCCCTTGATGCCTCAGGTCCACACATGCCTCATCCGAAATCTCTTTTCTTTAGCTTTTGGGATTCCTGAACAGAATGGCCTGCAGCTGATGCCAAACTGAGAGAAATCTGAGCCAGGGGTGGTACCTAGGATTACCTTTCACTGCCTTAGACTGCAGGGCTGGGAGACGCTGGAGACGGAGGAGCTGCAGCCAGAGCGGGCCTGCAGGTGAGTCCGGCCCAGAGGGCAGATGCCTGTCGCCCGCACCTGCCCTGCCAAGCCTCCTCTGGCCTGCGGCTCAGTGTTCCCATGGGCACATCGGATAAAACGGGGACTCCTCTGTCTCTCAGACCAAGAGCTAGTCAGGGATGACTAGAAACTGTCGTAATGTTAAGGTGCTCGGCAGAAAGAAACACAGGACAAGTGGGGAATCACTCCCTTCTGATTTGGATCACAGAGTGCCTGATATCGATGCAGCAAATATTTATTAATATCATCTATCTCACTCAGGCTTTGGGGCAATCCCTGACATGACACTTACTGTCTTACTCTGGCAGGATTCTTAACTTTTTTTTTTTTTAAGCAATTCAATGATCTTAATATTAGGTTATTTTTTATTTGAAAAAAAATAAGATTTTTGCAATCTCTACCTCCTGAAATGTGACATCAAGCGTACTTTTTTTTTTAATGAGCGACTGAGCCCACATACCCTTTGCCTTATAGTTTGTAGGCACTGAATTTGTGAGTATACAGCTACTGTTTCTGAAAGGACAGACATTAAGAAACTGTACCTGTCAATGCAGGACCAGTTCCATGTTCTCCAGTGTGCGAGGGGCAATGTGTCTTAGTGGCCTGAATACACAGGATCTCAGCTCTTTACTATTGGAAAGCTAATCTTGCTAACCTGGGATACAAAACAAAGTCCCTCCAGGCTTTTTGATAAAATTGATTGGCATTTTTCTATGGGCTATCATATTAGCTATTATTATAGAAAGCTCAGTCATATCTGAGCTTTGCGACCCCATGGACTGTAGCCCACCAGGCTCCTCTGTCCATGGAGACTCTCCAGGCCAGAATACTGGAGTGGGTTATCATGCCCTCCTCCAGGGTATCTTCCCACCCCAGGGATGGAACCCAGGTCTCCTGCATTGCAGGTGGATTCTTTACCGTCTGCGCCACCGGGGAAGCCCATAGAAAGCAGGACAGACCCTTTTCTTTCTTAGTCCCTTTTCTTCCCTCCAAATTACTATATTTACAGAACACTTTCCTTTTTCTGGCCATGCCTAGTGGCTTAAGTTCCCTGACCAGGGAGTGAACCCTGGCCCTTGGTATGGAAAGCCCCGAGTCCTGACCACTGGACCACCAGGGAAGTCCTGACACTTTCCTCTTCACGTACTTCTTGGTGAACTAAGTTTGTTTCAGAGGCCTGGAGGCAGGAACTATTTCTCTAATTATAATTGTACACTAATGATGTTCTGTATATAGTGAGGAGGAGGAAATAAAAGAGGTTTGGGGAAATTCAAGGCGCAGTTCTGGGTAGGTTGCATGGAACAGGGCAAGTACCAGTTGAAAGTCCTGGGCTGTGATGCCGTCAGCAGTGTCTGGTTGTGAGAGGTCCAGGAAAGCACAAGTCACCAGGTTTTGCTTTCTTTAACAGAAAATCTGCCACAAATGGGGCTGGGTTCGGTGGGATGGTTTCTTTTTTTTTTTTTTTTTCCTTGAGATACTGTACCTACAGCCTCTCTGGCCTTCCTCTGACCCTTGAACATGAAATGCTCCTTCTCGGAGCCTTCAGAGATGCTGCTTCATCTGACATACTAACCTCTTCTGTCTGCCTGCTCCCTCACACAGCCCTTCCCACAGTTACTCCTTGCTCAGCCATCAGATCCCAATTCAAAAAGCACTTGGCTAAGGAAAGACTTCCCTGCTCGCCCTTAGCTGCAGGCTCCCACAGCACTGCCCTTGCCCTTCATTACACTTCCTATCAGTTCAGTTCAGTCGCTCAGTCGTGTCCAGCTCTTTGTGACCCCACGGACACTTCCCATGCTTGTGGTTAAATGATCACTTGCTTCGTGGTGACCTTCTCAGCTAGAAATTAAGCTGAAGGCAGTGGCCACATGTCAATACTTACTTTCATGCTTTGCACATAATAGCCACATAATAAATGTTTACAGAATGAATGAAATAGTGCATAAACATACAATAAAGAATTTCACATAAAATTTTAGGATATTTACAGAATTTCTAGTATGTATATGCTTTTTTCTTTTAGGTCTTATACACTTTAAAACTTTTATTATTTATTTTTATTTAAGTATAGTTTATTAACAGTTTCAGGTATACAGCAAATACATACATACACACACATATATATATATATATACACATGATTCTTCTCCAGTATAGGTTATTACAAAATATTGAATACAGTTCCCTGTGCTATACAGTAGGTCCTTATTATTTATTTTATATATAGTAGTGTATATCTGTTAATCCCAAATTTCCAGTTTATCCCCCTCCTCCCTTTGGTAACCACAAGTTTGTTTTCTATGTCTGTAAGTCTATTTCTGTTTTGTAAATAAGTTCATTTGTATCATTTTTTTTTTTAGATTCCACATATAAGTGATATCATAAAGTATTTGTGTTTCTCTGTCTGACTTAGCATGATAATCTCTAGGCCCATCTGTGTTGCTGCAGATAGCATTATTTTATTCTTTTTAAGGCTTGGAAATATTCTATTGGATATATGTACCTTATCTTCTTTATCCATTCATCTGTTTATGGACCTTCAGGTTGCTTAACAACAACAACAAATGAATATTGGGCTGCATGTATCTTTTTAATTAGAGTTGTCTTTTCAGGCATATTCCCAGGAATGGGATTGCTGGATCATATGGTAGCTGTATTTTTAGTTTTGGGGGAAATCTCCAAACTCTTCTCCATAGTGGTTGCACCAGCTTAGTAATACGATTTCCATCAACATTGTAGGAAGGTTCCCAAAAGGAGAAAGCTCCACACACACAAAATTTTGTACCACTTCCTTGTATCACCTTTTCAAAAATTAGACAAATAATAAATATGTGCCCACAAAATATTACAAAGGATTCATAGGAGAGGCAGATGAGCCTTCCAGAGTGGGGAGCTTCATTGGGCAAAGGTTTAGGAGTGGGGCCACCCAGAGCCCCACAGTGGGGGCCTGGCACTTGGGATTCAAACCCTGCCCTACCCCTTACCAGCTGTGTATTCATGTCTCTAAGCCCCATTGCCTCAACTAAAACACACAGGATGACTTTTACCTTCTAGGGACTTGGGGAGAATAAAATTCAATCAAGAAGATAAAATACACATCCCAGTGCCTGCTTGACATGTTCTTCCTCACTTGAACCCTGGGCCAGTTGGTGGTATGCTGAATGTAAGGTGGCTTCTCAGAAAACTCCCAGCTGGGGCCTGGATTCTCTGGACACCCTGCGTGGGCAGGATGTTCCCATCTGCTTCCTAGTTCTGGAGTTCCAATTGGAGGATCAGATACCAGTTCCTGTATAGTGTGAGTCACTTAAGAAGACCTCTGGCATCCCTGGAGTGCAGGTAACAAGCATCTTGGCCTGGGGGTAAGATCCTCCTTACCAGGGGATGGTGAGGCGAGCCCGGGCACCTGTGTTTGGGCCCAAGTATCGGGACCCTGTGTTCTGCAGGATGTCCCGGCACCAGAGGAGAGGCCAGCAGCCTATGATCAGAAAGTGCCAGAAACCTCGAAATAAGTCCTGGTTTGGGGTCCCTTGCTGTCTCTCCAAACCTTGGGTCCTTCGTCTAAAAAATTGAGATCATAGGGAATTCCTTGGCGGTCCAGTGGTTGGGACGCCAAGCTTTCACTGCCGAGGGTCTGGGTTTGATCCCTGGTCAAGAAATTGGGAGCCCACAAGCTGATTGCTGCAGCCAAAATAAATTATTTAAACTAAAAAAACTGAGATCATAATGCCCACCTCAGGGGCTGTTGTGTTAAATCGCCTAGCTGTATGCTTACTTAGCTGCTAAGTTGCATCCATGACCCCATGGACTGTAGCCCACTAGGCTCCTCTGTCCATGGGATTTCCCAGGCAAGAATACTAGAGTGGGCTGCCATTCCCTTCTCTAGGGGATCTTCCGAATCCAGGGATTGAACCTGTGTCTCTTGCATTAGCAGGTGGGTTCTTTACCACTAAGCCGCCAAGGTAGCCCCAAATCACCTAGCCCTTGAGGTAATATATGTCAGTAAAGAGGAGTCAGAGTTTCCTCCCGCTCCTGTACCCTGTTCTTGGGAAGCACACCCTCGAGCAGAGGGGGTAACGTGTGCAGAGCAGGCGGGTGGCTGCTGCCCAGGTCTTCCGGGGGACCCAGGGAGGTACCCAGCAGGAAACAAGAGCTGTTGGGCATCCTGCTGGCCCCTGACAAGGGGGGTGTCGATGGGGGCTCTGTGCTCACAGTCTAGACACCAGCTGCCCTCAGTGGTGACATGGCCAGTGAAGGCGTCTTGGTGGGGAGCAAATGCTGTGAAAGGAAAGAGGAAACCTCCAGGTCCTTCCCCTCCCGAGCGGCTCATCCTTGAGATGGCTGCAGGAAGAACAGTGCAAAGAGCAGAAAACTCTGGGATCTGGGGGTGTGGGGGCTGGGCTCAGTGTCCCTTTCATTCTGGAGGACGCTCTGTGGGACAGTCTTTCTTGATTAGTTGGTATTGGAGTATAGTTGATTTACAGTGTTGTGTTAGTTTCTGCTGTATGGCAAAATGAATCAGTGATTCCGTCCATACCCACTCTTTTTTAGACTCTGTTCCCATCTGGGTCATCACAGAGTACTGTGCTATAGCAGGTCCTTATTAGTCATCTCTTTTATGTGTTTATGTCAGTCTCAGTCCCCCACTTTATCCTTCCCTCTGCACCCCGGGACATTCTTAAGATCCGCTAAAGGACTCTGGCGGGTTTGGGGGCTGCAGGGGGCCTGGGAGATGCTGGGATTCCAAGCATAGGTGACCTCAGGGGTCTTCTCGGGCGGAGACTCCCCATGGTTCCTCCTCTCAGACACAGCTGACCACTACATCAGTAACAAGGGGCATGTGTGGCGCTTTACCAAGCCCTTTCCTCATACGTGTTTGCAGCAGCATTCCCCTCGACAACCTTAAGGTCAAAATGTTATCATCCCCATTTTACAGAGGAGGAAACTTGAGTCTTGGAGAACTTAAGTCGTTAGCCCCAGGTCTCCCAGCTCCTGAGCGGCATCAGAGGGACTCAAATCCAGCAGGAGAGACTTTCATTTCACATCCATCTGGGGAAATGTATCCAGCCAGCTGCTTGTCCCTGCCCAGCTCCAGCCAGGGGAAGGGCAACTAGACTCCCACCTGAGGGGAACTTCTGTCAGTCTGGGAAGACAGAGCCCTCCCAGCGTCCAGGGCCATCTGACCCAGCCCCTCTCCTGCCTTCCAGGCCCTGAAAAACCTCCAGGCCTCTCCCATGGATCTGTGATCGAGGTGGGCAGCCCTCCCAGCAGCCCGGGACAGCCGTAAGTAACCATGGAAAGGGGCCTGCCCTCATCTCTCCCCTCCTCTGGCTCCGTCCTACCGCTCCCTTAGCTGGTTCCTTCTGCCAACTCCCAGCAATCCAGGAGGACATCCTCCCTTGGGAATCTGTGCTTCTTGTAGGACTTCACTCTCCGTGGGTGAGAGCAACGCTTGCTGTTGTCTATTTATTTTTAATAGCAAAAGTAATATCTGCTTATTTAAAAAGTCAAACAATGCAGAAGCACACTACGCAGAAAGTGCAAGTTTTTGGTGATGAGAGTTACTACATGCCCCGGCCCTCAGGGCTCATCCCAGTACTCCAGGACCACGATGAACCCCCTTTACAGATGGGTGAACTGAGTCACAGAGCAACGAAGCGTCTGGTCTGAGATCACAGGCTAGGAAGGGGCTGAGTTGGGAAGGCTCTGCTAAATCACCCAGCAAGCTATTTAGGTAAACAACCTAAAATTGCTCCCCTATAAGAATTTTAAGCAAATATCAGGACTTCTTGCCCCTGGAGAAAGAAAAGGGCTGCAGGAGAGAAAGAGAGACAAATGGAAAATCATTGCCCATAGTCTTGTGGAGCTGGCCTTTGGCTCTGCGAAGACTGCTCATGCCTTCAAGTCGGGCTCCTTACTTGGGAGGTCCCCAGTGGGATGGACTCTCTGGGGCGGTGGGCGTGTTCCAGGGCTGCTCTCTGGCATCCCCAGACGGGATGTGGGATGAGCGAGCGGCCCCTGGTCCCCGAAGGCTACTGCCCGCTCCGTCTGCAGGTCTCCGGCCGGCGGCATGTGGCTGCGGCGCGTCTCCAGCACGGCGGTGACCGCGCTCCTGCTGGCGCAGACCGGCCTCCTGCTCTTCTTGGTCTCCCGGCCCAGACTGCCGCCCCCGGCGAGCGGCGAGGAGCGCGTGCACGTGCTGGTGCTTTCCTCGTGGCGATCGGGCTCGTCCTTCGTGGGCCAGCTCTTCAGTCAACACCCCGACGTCTTCTACCTGATGGAGCCCGCGTGGCACGTGTGGGCCGCCCTGTCGCAGGGCAGCGCCCTGGCGCTCCACATGGCGGTGCGCGACCTGGTGCGTTCCGTCTTCCTGTGCGATATGGACGTGTTCGACGCCTACCTGCCGTGGAGGCGCAACCTGTCGGACCTCTTCCAGTGGGCGGAGAGCCGGGCGCTGTGCTCGCCGCCCGCCTGCAGCGCCTTCCCGCGCGGCGCCATCAGCAGCGAGGCGGTGTGCAAGCCGCTATGCGCGCGGCGGCCCTTCGGCCTGGCGCAGGAGGCCTGCCGCTCCTACAGCCACGTGGTGCTCAAGGAGGTGCGCTTCTTCAACCTGCAGGTGCTCTACCCGCTGCTCAGCGACCCCGCGCTCCGCCTGCGCATCGTGCACCTGGTGCGCGACCCGCGCGCCGTGCTGCGCTCGCGCGAGCAGACGGCCAAGGCGCTGGCGCGCGACAACGGCATCGTGCTGGGCACCAACGGCAAGTGGGTGGAGGCCGACCCGGAGCTGCGCGTGGTGCGGGAGGTGTGTCGCAGCCACGTGCGCATCGCCGAGGCGGCCACGCGCAAGCCGCCGCCCGCCCTGCGCGGCCGCTACCGCCTGGTGCGCTTCGAGGACCTGGCGCGGGCGCCGCTGCCCGAGATCCGAGAGCTGTACGCCTTCGCGGGCCTGAGCCTCACGCCGCAGCTCGAAGCCTGGATCCACAACATCACGCACGGTGTCGGGCCCGGCGCGCGCCGCGAGGCCTTCAAGACCACGTCGAGGGACGCGCTCAACGTCTCGCAGGCTTGGCGCCACGCCCTGCCCTTCTCCAAGATCCGCCGTGTGCAGGAGCTGTGTGCTGGCGCGCTGCAGCTGCTGGGCTACCGGCCCGTGTTCTCCGAGGACGAGCAGCGCGACCTCAGCCTGGACCTGGTGCTGCCGCGCGGCCCGAGCAGCTTCAGCTGGGCCTCGTCCACTGCCGAGCGCCCTGGGCCGTAGCATAGGCCCCCAGCTGGGGCTGGCGGTCACCAGGGCCAGGAGACCCACGCGTGGTGCCAAAGGGTCTGGGCATGCGGTGGCCCAGAGTTTGGGAGGTCCCACCTGTAGCAGGCCAGGACCAAGTTCCCAAACTAGTTTCTTTCTGCCCATTTCTCTTTCTTTCGAGTCCTCTTTAGGAGCTAAATGGTTTCCCCTGGTGGCTCAGCAGTAAAGAATCTGCCTGCAGTGCAGGAGACCCAGGTTCGATCCCTGCGTCGGGAAGACCCTCTGGAGGAGGGCATGGCAACTCACTCCACCATTCTTGCGTGGAGAATCCCATGGACAGAGGAGCCTGGTGGGCTGCAGTCCATGGGGGCAAAGAATCAGACGTGACTGAAGTGATTAATCAACAGCACGTAGGAGCTGAATTACCCACAGGAACACTCTTCATAGAAAGCAGACTGGTTCCCCCACTTCTGGGCACAGGGAATAAGTTCAAATGACTTGGCTCCTTCTCCAGCACTTTCTTTCCTTCTCAGTCTCCCTCAGGATGCCTCATCCTGCAGCTGAGAAGGCTGGCCCAGCCCTACCTGGGACTGGAGGGATACTGTGGCCAGCTGGCCCCTGAAGTCAGTACATCTCCCCCTCCACGGCACCCCCCCCCCAGACTCTGTTCCCCCAAATCCTCTGGCACCACGTGCCACCAAAGCCAATGCTTTTATATTCATCTGTATCTTCAGCAAGAAATCAGCCAAGCCTCTATCTTGGGGTCTCCCCTTAGTCTCTCTCTGACCCAATCTCCCAGGAGCCCACACGACCCCATCACCTGCCTAAGTAAGGTGAACCTTTGATTTGTCCTGATGGGAAAGCTCCTACTTACAGAAATAAACATATTTAACCTGTATGATACAAATTAGAGTTTATGGCCTGTAAAGTTGGAGAAGCAAAATGCAAAAGTGAAGAGACTTGTCCAAAGCTACAGGATGAAAAGGAAGATGAAGAGAGAGAGGGAAGTTTGCTTTGGGACCACAGTGGGGAGGAGAGGGTGCATCAGGCTTGCAGAGACCTGTCTCCTGGACCAAGAAGGGTCAGATTTTCCCATCCTGTTCGCCCAAGGGCTCAGCAGTTGGCCGTAGCTAGGACCGCAGCTGCGAGGTGAGATGTGGGAAGTGGTAAGCTCGGGGTTCAGAGTGCAGAATCTAGGGAGCTTCCTGGATAAGCCTGGAGGGAGGCAGTGAGCAGACAAAGTGGAGGGAAAGAAGGCTGGGCAGGCTCGGGCAGCAAGCCAGGCAGAGCGTGTGGCAGAGCAAGAGGCTGGCAGCAAGATCAGTGCCTGGAGGGCGAGTCACGGGGCGGGTGTAACTAGATAAAGCTCGCCAGGAGCTTGAAAGAAAAAAGGCTCTAGGTTGGCTGTCCTCCTGTGGTCCTTCTGTGCCAGGCCCTGGAGGAGAACAAAATACGATTCCTAGCTGCAAGCTACAGCACCTGGCTCCACCAGCAGAGGGTCTTATGAAACAGAGGCTGGATTTTAAAAACGGAGGTGGGGGGTAGGCGAAAGGGGAGGATGCCGGATATGTAAGAGCTAGTCTTGAATTCAGGAAATAAAAGCCAACAAGTGCTCAAAAAATGTTGAAAATGAGGGAGAAGGGTCACAGAACCTCTGGGAAGGGCAGGGGAGCAGACTGGAGTCCACGCAAATAGAATACCTGTCACACCTGAATAGAGAGCTGGTCTGCGGACTGACAGTTGCCACCAGAACACCTAAGCCTGTTCCCGCTGGGAGGGAGGGAGCTGCTCTCACTGAGGCCATCAGTCACCAGGAGGGATTCTGGAGGTTGCTGGCTTCCCTTTCTCAGCCTGGTGTGGCCTTGGATTGGTGGGACCTGGATTGTAGACCCACATCCTCACTGCAAAGCAGGCAGGTCAAGGGCAGTCTGGCACTTTCCATTTCTTTCCTCGAAGGGAGCAGATGGATACTGACCTTGAAGCCGAAACTTCAGGATGCCTCAGTTAAGGACCCGTCTAGCTGTAGAAACTTCGGGCCCTCTAAAGCTTCCATCTGCCCCTTCTCACAATAGAAGAAGGTATTTAAAATGCAGAATTTATTGATGACTTAGGCTAGGGTCACATGGCTTAATATATGGGCTGGAACTCAAAAACTTACATCTTTGACTTCAATGCTTACGGTTCTAGCAAGTAAACTGAGCTGGGGATGGAGCAGAAGACTCCATCACAGGCTTCAAAAGCCATATCATTACCCAGAGATGTGGGTCTCTCGGTGTCAAGGAGCTGTCCTGACATTTTGGGGTTTTTTGTTTTCAGTTTTATTGAGGAAGAATTGACATGCATCATTCTATAAGTTTAAGGTGTACAGTGTGATGGTTTGATTTACCTATATTGGGAAATGATTACCATACTAGGTTTAATTAACATCAGCCACCTCAGATAGATACAATAAAAAGAGGAAAAAAAACACAATTTTAAAATTTATAAATGTTATGAGGGAATTCTCTGGCTGTCCAGTGGTTGGGACTCCACGCTCTCACTGCCAAGGGCCCGGGTTCAGTCCCTGATGGGGGAAATAGGATCCTGCAAGCCACATGGCATGGCCAAAAATAAAATAAAAATGTTCTAAGAGATGGAGATTTAATGCCTCCATCTCTTCTCATCTTCTCTCCAAAATTTTATTGTACTTTTAGTTATATAATTGACCTATAGTGCTATGTAAGTTCCAGGTTCACAACATAGTGATTCGATATTTTTAAATGTTGCAAAATGATCGCCTCTGTCCTGGCATTGAGCTGCAAACATCTCAAGGTGGGCAGTGGGCTGGGTTAATGGGGCCCCTGCCACCGGCCCCTTTCCTCCCCATATGTGGCCCCCCCACCCCAGGATAGCCTCTGGGGATAAAAGCAGACTCCTGGCCCCACCTGGAAGGAGCACATGGTTAAGTGGAGGAGTCAGCTGGGAAATCTGCAATGTGCTATGTTTGGGCAAAGAAAGTCCATGAACCAGAGGTTCATGGTGCCAGAGGCTGACATGCAGTCACCGATCCTGAGTGGGATCCAGGAAGGCATTTGGGTTGGTGCTCGGAGCCCAGCCTGATCCTGGCATCCACAAGTTTTGTTTGTCCCTGCCAGGGTCACAGATTGTCTCGGCGACAGCACAATGAAAGGCTTTTGCTGTGTGACCCACTCCTCACCTGTCTCCTGAGGTTCCAGGATGCCAATGACTGGCTCTCAGATGTTGCTGCCTGTATATGGGGCCTTCTGGACAAGTCTCTGCAAGAGCTGCAGGGCACAGCAGGTTTCCAGCAAGCCCCTAGGTGAACCCAGCTAAGGTTTCAGGACAAAGACAGCGCCCAGTCCAGTGTTTTCATGAGTTAGCCCTGGGTCAGGCCCTGGAACAGAATAGTCAAAGCCTTTGTTCTGGTGGGGAGTGCAGACGCTAAATAAAAAGTCCTATAAATAAATATGCAACTGTTGATTGTGCTCTAAGAATAAATAATAAGAATGGGTAGAGGGTGGCCTACTTTACTGTGGAGAGTCAGGAAAACATTTTTGAAGAGAAATTTTTGGTTCAAATGAAGGATGGATAGGAGTTCATTGAGCACAGGATGAAGAGGCAGAAAGTGACTGAGGGATTGGTCCCCTTGGAATCAAGTTTCCTTGACAAAATAAAAGACTCACTCCTGGGAATCCAAGCTCGTGGTGGGAGAGGACCCCAGGAGATGACTGAGTTTGTGTATCTATAGTAAAGATTCCTAGAAATAGAACTGCTGGATCAAACAGCATCCATCTTTTAAATGTGAAAATGCCAAATTACTCCAAAAATGAAGTACCAACTTATACTCTCTGGAATGGTGTCAGGAATGCCCTTGTCACCCTTTTCTACTGAGCTCCCCCCATCATCTATAAAGAGGTAAATAATTTTCATTTTTACCTACCTAATGGAATATTTGGGCTTTCCTGGTGGCTCAGATGGTAAAGAATCTGCCTGCAATGCAGGAGACCCAGGTTCAGTCCCTGAGTTGGGAAGATCCCCTGGAGAAGGAAATGGCAACTCACTCCAGTATTCTTGCCTGGAGGATTCCATGGACAGAGGAGCCTGGTGGGCTATAGTGCATGGGTAACAAAGAGTTGGACACAACTGAAGCAACACACATTCATTGTTACAGTGCTACTAGGAACAATCTTGTCTCTATCTTCTGGTACCAATGCTGTAGGATATTTGCCTAGGAGCTAAATAGGTAGATCATGAGTATCTTCATTCAACATTATTCCAGATGGTTGTTATCTATTTATGGGCTTCCCAGGTAGCTCAGTGGTAAAGAATTTGCTTGCAATGCAGCAGACATGGGTTTGGTCCCTGGGTCAGGAAGATCCTGACCCTGGAGTTTCCTCCTGGAGGAGGAGATTGTAATCCACTCCAGTATTCTTGCTTGGACAATCCCATGGACAGAGGAGTCTGGTGGGCTACAGTCCACGAGGTCCCAAAGAGTCGACACAATTGAGCATGCATATATCTGTTTATGCCTCCATAGTTCCAGCTGCCCTACAACCTCAATAACAATCAGCATTCTCAGACTTCAAAATTTTTGGCTGTTGGGTGGTTGACAAGTGACATCTCATTGTGATTCATTTTGTGTTTCACTGATTAATGAGGTTAAGTATCTTTTCCTATTAATATTTTTTGTTGGCCACTTGTATTTCTCTATCCAGGTCTTTTGTTTGTCATTTTCTTATTGATTTTTATAAGTGCTTGATATGTTTTGAATGCCACTCCTATGTCAGTGATTTGTATTTCAGATATTGTCTCCCAGTTTGTGACTTGTCTTTATATTTTCTTTGTGATAACCCTTGTATAACACAAGACCTTAAAGTAATTAAATTTACCCATTCTTTCCTTTATGGTCTTTGCTTTTTGTATCTAGTTTAAGAACTCCTTTACCATCATGCACATAAAGATATTCAACATTGTCTTCTGAAAGTTTTATAGTTCTTCATCTCACTGTAAGTGAA